GGAGGAGGAGGATTCTTGATGAGGGGGGAGAAGGTTAACTCCTCCTGGCTGTACCTTCCCCGCCCAGGCCGAGTCCCACGTATACGTGGAGCCTCAGGCCGTGGCGTTCTCCGACGCCGATGACACGGGCGCCTGGCAGCGGAAGGTCCTCGTTGCCGACGGCCGGGGTGTGCACATGGGCGAGTTGGCGATTGAGCAGCTCGCCCAGGGCGCGAAGGCCCAGTTTATACAATTCGGCGGCGAGCGAGGGGGGGAGCTGAGAAGGAAGAGGCCTTCGAAGACGGCGGCGGGACTCCTCAGAAGCCCTTGCGCCTTCTGAGAAGTTGTTTGTGTCTCCGGGGACGGCTTATGGGGGACTTCCGTCTTTCTGATACGGCCGGCCCGTCTCACATTCCCCCCTCGCTCGCCGCCGAAAGATGCCACCATTGGCGGCAGAGGACCCTACGGCCAGGATCGGTTGCCTGGTCTGTCGCGTCGCCAAGCGTTAATGTCCCGAGCTTTTCCCAGCGTCCTGCCCCTCGAAGCGGAACGTCACGGTATCAGTTTGCAGGGCATGGCGTTTCGTAGGGGCCACCGTCGCGACATGCTAAACATCAGTTCCTGACCGTAAGCAGTTTGTAAAGTTTTACGGAGGGTTCCGACCTCCATTCAGTATTATATATACATATTCTATACCTATACGACCACCCTGCGGGTGATAAGGAGGTGAGGGGGGAGGGGGAACCAACGTCTCACTCAATCGATCTCGCTATCGATCTCACAATCAATCTCACATTCGATCTCACTATCGATCTCACTATCGATCTCGCTATCGATCTCACTATCGATCTCACAATCGATCTCACAATCGATCTCACATTCGGTCTCACATTCGGTCCCACTGTCGATCTCACTATCGATTTCACAATCGATCTCACAGTCGATCTCACATTCGGTCTCACATTCGGTCTCACTATCGATCTCACTATCGATCTCACAATCAACCTCACAATCGATCTCACATTCGGTTTCACATTCGGTCTCACTATCGATCTCACAATCAATCTCACAATCGATCTCACATTCGATCTCACATTCGGTCTCACTATGATCTCGCAATCGATCTCACAAGCGACGTCATCATCATCATCATCATCATCATCAACATCAACATCATCATCATCATCATCATCATCATCATCATCATCATCATCATCATCATCATCATCGCCCTCATCAACATCATCATCATCATCATCACCATCATCATCATCACCATCATCATCAGAATCATCATCATAATCATCATCAACATCATCATCGGGACACCGACGGGACACCGACGGGACACCGGCGGGACACCGCGCCGCACCGGCCGCCCGGAAGAGAAACATTTGGTCCGGCCGCGCCTCAGCCACACGGGACACCAGCGGGACACCGGCGGGACACCGCGCGCCACCGGCCGCCCGGAAGGGAAACATTTGGTCCGGCCCCGCCTCAGCCACAGGAGAACCGACGGGACACCAGCGGGACACCGGCGGGACACCGCGCGCCACCGGCCGCCCGGAAGGGAAACATTTGGTCCGGCCGCGCCTCAGCCACAGGAGATTTTCTCTCGCCCGCCCACGCAGCTTCGCCTCGCCCGCACGCACGGCACGCACGAACACGAAACCGAAATCGATTTCCCGGTAGGGGGGCTCTCCGTTCCACTTCGATCTCACCCCCTCACCTCCGATATGTCATGTATGTGTACATATGTAGATGTACTGTCTCCCACGAGCCGTTCTGGCACGATCTGGCTCGGGCTTTTTCTCGTGCGCACTCAGATGCTCCATTTGCCGCACCATCTATCCGATCAGCGAGGGATTGAATTGGTACCACGCGGTGGTCCGCCGCATCTGGCTCTGGTGCGATTCGTTGTAGATGACATTACATTTCGCATTTTACGCTCGTCCGCCTTCTGTGATCCATTCTGTGATCCACCAGATCTGGCTCTGGCACGATCCAGCGTAAGTGAACTTATGCGTGAGGCATCCATGCACTGCGGGCTACATGCGCTTACTCTCGCGCGCGCACCATGCAACACCCCTCAAACGCCTTGGCCGTGCATCATTACAAGACCGAGCTCGCCAACACGCACCTTTTACCATCCGCAGAGGGCCCTGTGGCAGAGAGAGGAGGACGAGGAAGCGGAGGAGACGGAGGAGGAGGAGGAGGAGGGGGGGGAATAGCTGCTCAACCGAGCTGTATCAAATACCTGTGCCTGTGCGCGCCGCGCCAAAGCTTGTCTACGGCATTATTCAAGTGCGCGCATGCGTCCATCAACATGCATGGTCTTCTGAGGAAATTTCAGCGACCGCGCTAATGAGATCCTCAACAGCCGGTCAAGAGGTGCTTGTTCTGGTTTCCATGGCAAGATGGGGTTGTTCGGACGTGACTGGGCTAGACGGAGTTTTTTTGGGCGGGGGACGGGTTGATATGATCACTCTCTGCGATTGCGTATATACGCGGTAGACCAGGAACCACAACCAGGAACCACGGGCCACGACGAGAGACTACGATCCACAAGAGACCAGAGGTTATGTGCCATGACTAGGGACCGCGACCACAGACCACGAGCCTCGCGACCAGAGACGGTATGACACAATCATAGAGCGCGACCAGAGACCACGAGCTCTGGTTGTAGGATCGCGCGATACACCCACAGACATTGTTACACATATGTACATCTACATGATAACTGCAGATAAGCTGGTTAGGGAATTAGGGAACGACATACTGGTAACGATGTCCTTTCCCCGCTTTCGTTTATTTTGGCCTCTTCAGGGTACTCGTCACCACAGTTGCTTACGGTGCACCTTCGGGGGTCGCTGTCTGTCCTCTAAAGCGCGTTGTGTTCTTGTATCCAGCGTGGGCTCGACGCTGGTTCGACATTGAGTCGACGTGGATTCGACGCACATTCGACGTTCGACACGGACTCGGCGCTGACTCGACACGGACAGCGGTACGATCGGACAGAAGAGGTTCCTCGAAGATGCAGCGTCAGGGCGGATGCGCTTCGGAATCCTGCCCAGAACGCAACCCAGCAGGCAGAGGCAGCGGCATCGGTGCAGTCTTCGGGGGTTGCCCGGCCCGAGGAGCCCCCAGCGTGTCGCGCCAGTCTGGAGCCCCAGAAGCCCTCGGGGCCTCGACAAGTGGCGGCTCCTGAGACCACCCCGGCCTCTCCGCAAAAGCTGGGGCCACCCTGGGCCAGAGGCACCCCTGGCAACACCCGGCTGGCCCCAGCATTCGACATGGCGGTTTTTGCGCAACGTGGGCCCCAGGAAGGCCTGACCCTTTTCCCAGGAAGCGCTTGTTCACGCCGAGTGGTTTTTGTTCGCGGTCCTGGGGCCCGCTGAGAGCCCCAGAGGCCAAAAATGCCAAACATTGCCCGTGCTATTCTATCGCAGCACGAGGGTGTCGAGGTATTTGCCCCCCCGAAGGCGGATCGGGCGCTTAGCGCCGCCGACACGCAGCTGTACTTCGGGCTCGGCGGGCAGTGCACCGTCGCAGCCAACGGGGAAACGGCCGCGCTGGCCCGCGGCGTAAGCGTGCTGGTGAGGCCGGGGACTCGGCACTCCCTGGTGGGCTCGGACCATGGGCCACCTTGCCAGGTTCAGGGGGGACGAAGCTCCGAGGTTTGAGGTTCTCGGGCGTCGTCGTAGGTTCTAGGCGGCTGTGCAGCCTCGGGATGCCTTCCAACGACTGCGCCTCGCCGAGGGCGTTCCGCGGGTGCCCGGATCGCCCCGAACGTAACTGAGTTAGGAATCGAGCGCAGGACGACATGCACCACTGCGGGGGATAGTCTCAGAGGGGCGCGAATCGACCTCCGGTCGCCCACTCGTCCCCGATCGGTGCCTGATGGCCCACCGCGCCCAGGAGCGCGCGGATTCGCTTGATCCATCGGCGATTTGTCCGCCATCTGAGCTGGTCCCCCCGACCTAGACTGAATCTTTCCGTTCGCGGTCCCCAGAAATCTCGACCCTATCCCCGGGGGCGGGCTTCGCGCCCTGAGTCGTCTTCTGACGGCCCCGGGTCCGGGCGAGGGCCCAGGCCGAAACCGACGAAGAAGAACATTGGAGCTGCATGTTTCAGCCGACGTCACGTCAACAAAAACTCGACCGGAGCCCTGAACCCCATCTGTCTGCAGGGTCTACGAGCAGGATGGATCCATGAGGGTCCCGGGCCGCTGCGAAAAAGGTACGACGCTACTCCAGATTTCGTAATAAAAGGGAGGGGGTCTGGACCCTCCAAGACAAGCCATTTCAGACCCCCCCCCGTGGGAGAACCCTCCGGAACATCGTCCCCAGACCCCCCCAGGCCCTCCAAGATAGCCTGGAAGAGACCCCCCCCGAAATGAGACCCCCCTCCCTTTATTACGAAATCTGGAGTAGGGTCTCGGGGCTATCCCCCCTCGCAGGTGCTGTCCGTCGGGCTGCACTCTGGAAGCTGGCTCGACGGCGCGCGGGGCCCCGCGCTCCGGCGGGCCGACGACGGGCAGCTGCCCTCGGAGAAGACGGCGCACGAGAGCGCCCTGCTCTCCAAGCGCGTGCACGCCAGGCGCGGCCTGGTGCCTGGCCTGATGCAGCTCTCGGTGGCGCGTTTCCAGCCCAGGTCGGGATCGGAGAACTCTTTGAGTGGGGCTCGTGTCAAGCGCCAGGTGCGGTTCAGTAGCCCTACCCCCCGTGGCAGACTTCAGCCCGAACCCGAAAGTAAGCTGCGGAGCGGGAGGCAGAGTCTCTGGCGAGAACATCCCCCTCATGACTCCGCAATTTCATGAAGGTTGGCATGTATAAAAATGTGTTTAATACATTCAAAAACCTGGCGCCCGTGTCACGGTGAATACTCTCCTCCCTCCCGTTGCCAAGTTAAGGCGAACAGCCCTCGGAACAGCGATCGTCGCACCCTCCTGCCAGGTCGTTGTTGCCTTGCCAAGGACATGCTTTCTACGAAATTGCATGCTGAGCGTGCTTCTGGTCAGCGTTCGGGTCACCCGAGCTCCCACAGGCAATGCCAGGGAGGTCCGAGTGTACGGAGGTAGTTGTTTCACCCCCTGCGATGAGGGATGAGGGGCGGAGGGAGGGGGGAGGGGGGGCCGGGGCCGGTCACGTCACGATTCGCGCCGGCCCCGTCTGGGAATTCTTGAGAATGGGTAATCCTCAGACGGCGGCGGCGGCGCGAAGCGTGACGTGATCAGGGAGCGGAGGGGGGGTGGGCGGGGCCGTGCACGGGCGTGACCGCAAGCATCCAAAAATGGGCTCGTGCGTTGGCCTGGCTCATCGTCGCCAAGAGGCGGCAGTTCCACGGCTGATTGGTCAGGGCAGTGTTCGGGCGGCCACGGTGTCGCTCAAGCAGCTCCCCAGAAACCCGCCGTTGACCCAGCTTTTTTTCCTTGCTTCCAGTCCAGGGCGGAGTGCGAGCTGCACCGCCACGCCACGGGGACGGAGGTGTACGTCAACTACGGCGGTAAGGCCAGAAGGGGAAAGCCTTCAGATACAGGCGTGGCGTTGCACACAAAATCGTGGCGGCCCGTTTTTCGTCGGCGTCGGCCTCTGGAAGCGGCCCCAGGACCGCTAACTCAGGGGCGGCCTAACCGACCCCTAGCAAACAAAGCATCCCCTTCCGTGACGCCCCCCTCGCCTCGCCCCAAGCCGTGTGTATTTGGCCAGGAAGGGCGCGTGAGAGGCGAGGGCAACTTCACGGAAGGGGATGGTTTGCTGGGAGTCGGTTAGGCCCCGCCCGATCCACAAAACATGCAGGATGAAAAGCCAAGCCCAGGGAAGTGGTCGAAGGCCCATGGCGCCAATTTTCCGAACAAGTGCAACGTCGGAGGAGAGTGACGATGCCGATGTTGCATATTGGTTCCAGGGGCCTTTCTGGTATCCACCTGACGATTTTCCTTCGGCTCGTACTGCAGTCGAGGCATGGGTGGAGCGAGCAGCTCCAGGAAGGCCTCCTGAGCGAGCACCTACCCGATGCCGGTGCCCTTCCCTCGTCGCCTCTGCTGCGTTCGCCACGATTTGTTGGTCAGCACGTACCCTTGGAGAGGTCCAGGGAGTGGCGGTGTCGATACCTCTTCTCCTTCCCACAAGGGCTGCCACCTGACCGTCCTCGACGATAGCACCGGCGCCAGGAGGAATGACACCCACGACATCTCTGGCGGCATCGTGGACGTTATCAACCCTGGCAGCTGGCACGAGGCCTGGAACGACGCGCAGGAGCACTGCGAGAACATCAACATGCTGCTGGCAGACCCCCGCGAGTGAGCCGAGTGCTGGCGTGCGGGTTCGTGCGCGCGCCGCTCGGGAAGGGCGCGCGCTTCTCTGCCCATTAGCCCCTCCCTCCCCCATCCCTCCTCCTTCCTTGGACGCGCGCTCGTGTGCGCTCCCTTGCCCCGCCCACTTTCAACACCCCCCACCGTCAGGAAGGGGAAGAAGGGAAGGGAGTCGACTCAACTCAACTACGACGTTCCTGCTCCTTGTTCCCCAACTTCCTTGGGGTACACGACGACGACGGTAAGGACGACGACTCAAGCGGTAAAGCGTCTCACACACATTGAAGGGCTGGTGGATTATAAGAATATTGGTTCTTCGGGGCGCAGTTCCCCAAATGAACGAACATAGTCAGCACTTCTTCGGGAGGCTTCTCAGATATTTGATCCGCGATTCGCTTCCTTTGGGCCTCCTCCTTCCTTGCTGATCCACCGACCTTTGCTTGCGAGCAGCTGCTTGGTCAATCACCTTGCGGTACCACACGGTGAGCTTGGGGCGACGAGGCTCGTGGTCGATACCCACGTGTCCGTCTCTATCAAGACCAAGAGGGGCGAAAGGCAGCGATCTGGAGGCCTCGCCGCGAGATGCTTGGTCACGACGGTCTCACGCGTGGCCTTCTGCTTCACATACGCCTGCTGCCTCTCGATCCAGAACAAATCCACTAGCTTCTGGTGCGCCCCAAGTGCTGCGTGTACAGCCTTATCTTTGCTTCTAGGACAGGGATGCCCCGACATCGACGTTAGTGTGCGACCCCATGCGGGTGATTTCGGGGTCCAAGAATCTGCTCTCGCAGTCGATTGTGAATGGACGGGCACCGGAAGACATTTGGTAAGTAGATCGCTTGTCCTCTGACCTTCCTACGACTCCTTACTGCCAATGAAACCTCTGTGGAGACTCGACGTGCGCAAGAAGAGCCACATGTGCACGTTCGAGCTGGGTCCAGACCTCTGATGGAGTAGGCCTTCGGTGCACTCGTAGGGCCTCGGGGTGCCTTCGCTCACGAAGCCCTGGAGTAGGCCTTCAGTGCAATCGTGGAGTTTATGATGATCCACTCGGCGGGCGTCAACTGCCAGGACCTCGGCGCCTGCAGTTGCCGTCGCGGCCGGCCCTCGTGCGCCCCCTGAGACCCGACGATGCCAACAAAAATGCAACATCGCACAACAAAAAATCACGACTGGAGCCCTGGACCCCATCTTTCCGCGTCATTTTTCGAGCCAGGTCGATCTGTGAGGGCCTTGGGGCCCGATACCCTGGCGAAGACGCCCAGTGTGAACAATATTGCGACGCCAGGTCGGACGGGGCTAGGACGAGGAGAAATCCGTTCCAGAGCGTTCCGGAGCGCTCTCAGAGCGTTCCGGACCGCTCTGAGAAGGCCGAAGCGCCCAATACAGCCTCCATAGCCGCGGGATCTCAGAGGTTCTCGATTGATATTCGCCCAAATTTATCCTTGTCCTGGCTTCGTCTTGCCAGGAGTCTCGCGAGGGGCCAGGCGCCTGGCCAGCAGGAGCAGCGCCAGGGCAGCGCGGGCCCACCTCGGGGGCTGCGCCGGGCTGCGCTCCCGACCGCCCAGGGGCCCACGGGCGGGGCAAGCGGCCTCGGCCTCAGAGGAGGAAAAGGTCAGGCCAGGTCAGATTGGAAGGGAAAGGGCACACAGACACAAATAACCGTCGATTCCCCGGAAATGATTGGGAACTACGTGAAATGTGAGGGAAGACGAACATTCAGAATTGTTTTGAAAAGTATGGGGAATCTTGGGACTTCTGTGTATGTATGTGTATTTAGTTGTGGGTCCCTTGGACCCTTGAACAGAAGTTAAGCATCTGTAAGACGCGTAGGCAGAAGCAACGGGATCGATATTAACCCCATGCTTTGTGGAGTGACAAACCGTTTGTATACAACCTTCCTGATTGTGATAGCGAGTGGCTGAATAACTGACAGCATCACGACTGCGGGACCAACAACTTGAGGGACCTACCAAATTCTGGGACCAACAACAATATGTGGTCCAAAAACATTGGGACCAAACATCTTTTGGTTTCAGATTTCGAAGTCTCAGACACTTTTGTTTGTCCCATGTTTGTCACTCGCTACCCTTGCCTCGTTTTCCCTTTTTGGGCCCTCCTGGGGGGTCCTCGTCGCCACCACTGCATTCGGCTCAAAATGCTGGTCAGAAGGCACCCCAGGGGAGATCCAGGGAGTGGCGGTATCAGTACCTTTTGGTGTCCCCACGGCCGGTGATTACAATGTTTGTTCCTCCTTTGCCATGCGGACATGGGCAACGCGTAAGTCGGACATCAGAGACGATGTGTACGTTGGGCACTGGCGTGTGCGAGCTCGGTGGGGACGTCGCACGACTCCCTCTGTACCGTTGCTGTTCTGAGCGGGTTAGAACCTGAGGACCACAGAACAGTCAATGTTACAATATGTTTCTTTCGCAGGCCGAGATGGACACGTTCAAGATTTGTGTAGAGTCCTGTTTGAGACCTACTTGAAACCGATATGGGATCTATTCGGCACCGGTTGGGAACTCATGAGATACCAATTTGGTACATTGATTTATCTGAGACCGATATGAGGTCTGAGACATGTTGGAAGCTATTCGAGACCCATTTGAGACCAGTTTGAAGTTCCTGTTCAGATCTGCTGGAGACCTATTGGGGAACTCATTGATACACGTCTGGAACCTTTTTGAAACCTATTCTGCACCAGCCGCCAGTCTGGCCCAGAGGGCCCACAGAAGGGGGGAAGGGGAGGGGGGCCACGAGGCGTCGGCCCGGCGTCGTCTCAAAAGAGCTGCATCGACTGTGCTCCCATCGGTTACGCGTCAGGGTGACCCTCCGCCGGAGTGACCACGGGTGCGGGCCCACAGGGGTTCCCACAGCACCTGCACGCGCGCTCCTCCTCCTCCTCCTCCTCCTCCTCCTCCTCCTCCTCCTCCTCCTCCTCCTCCTCCTCCTCCTCCTCCTCCTCCTCCTCCTCCTCCTCCTCCTCCGCGCACCCGAGGCCTCTCCTGCCGGGGGCCGCTCCTGCGCGTAGAGCCGAGCTCCGCGTCCCGCCCGGTGGCCTCAGCCCAATCGGCGGCGCGCTCCGCCCGCGCCACCCGCGGCCCCGCAGGGCGCGCCACGCGCGCGCGCGGCCCGCGCGGCCCGGGCAGGCCGCGCGCCTCGGCGCGGCGGCCGCTCGCGCCGCAGGGAGCAGCGGCCGCGCGGGGCAGCGGGGCGGAGCGGCGGAGTGGCGGCGGTCGGCGTCTCTCCGAGGGGGAGCGGGTGCGGCTGCCGTGGCGTGTCCTTCGTCTTTGGCTTCTCGGGCCTCCTGGGAGGGCCTCGTCGCCACGGCTGGATGCGGCTCGAGATCTTGGTTGGAACGCACCCAGGGAGGGGTCCGGGGAGCAGCGGTATCGGAACCTCCCAGGCCGAGATGGGGGCAGCGGCCAGCGGTGATCGATCCCCAGATCTCCGATTATTTTTTGCTCTTCGAATCCCATCAGTTTTCCTCGATGCCAGCCTCATGGGGCCTGTCGTCAGGCCGCAGGGCCATCAAACACGGATTTGGGGCAGGAAGCTGCCCGCCGGGAAGAGGTCGGAAGCTCTTGCGGCCGAGGATTGAAACAATGAGCTCGTCGGGTGTCTGGGTCCCCCGTCGCTCCAGCTAGACCTGCAGGCCGCCCATGTAGGAGCTGGAGTGGATCTGGCGTGGTTGCAGCCCTGACGTCCACGCGCTGCGGAAAAAGCAGCGGCCGAAGGTTTTGGCAATCGTCTGCCTCTGGGGACCATCATTGCGGGGCCCGAGGACCATCAGAAAACGGCTCAAGGTGAAACGCCTGTCCCCTGCCATGGGCCCAGACTGATTGGAAGCCACACTGCGAACAAACGTGCGACGGTAAAAATCTGAAAGGGCCATCCTTGCCTTTGACGGAAGCTGGCATAAGCCGGCGAAAGTAAAGCGGCGTTTCTCATCAAGGCGCAAAACAGATTTGAAGGACATGTGAGCAGACAGTTGCGTTTGTATTCTGGAGCTTTTTAACAGGGTGTTCTCGAATATCGGGTGGTTATGGAAAGCGTGTGTTCGATGTATCTTGTATGTGTTTTCCATCTCACAACGAGGGCGACTGACTTTCTGTAGCTGTCCAAGAGGGCTGGAAGTTTACAACATGTGTACAAGGCGCGTGCTTGCAAAACCAGTTGGCGTTCAATGCTTGCAAAAACAGTTAACCACTTGAATAACGCGCGATACGCAACAGACTGTGATCCAACACATTCTATCACAGCAGTTTTGCGCCAGTAGGTGTATTCTTGCCCATGTCGTAGAATAGGCGTTTGATGTTGGCGGTATGCTTAGTCAGCGGTGTCCGAATTTGCAAATTTGAATATAGAAACAACAGATGGCTCACAAAACATGTACCATACAAACCCATGTGGCTTCCACAGCAAGTTCAATAAGAGTTTTGAATGCGCGTTAACTTCGGCAGCTGGAGGTGTTTGCCATCTCGTGGTTTTGAAACTTGTTTTCTAGTTGTTTGAAAAAACGTACAGCGCCTGCTTAGCTGGCCAGCTCCGACAACCCATGGAAAATCTGAAAAGATCCACGACCTCCCTCACAGTATGGGTCGGGCGGGTGAGGAGCACGGAAACTTCGCAGGCGAAACCCTTGAGTGGCAACGTGAACCCAGCAGTCTAGCAGGGGCACAGACTTGGCTTAATCTGTATTTGGCGAAAGATCCCTTGTGGTAGAGCTCTCAACGACAAAGTGCCGCTCGCGCCTTACGGCCCCCGGCCAGGAAACGGGCACCTTGGACAGGCACGACTCGAATCACAAGCGCGGCACGGCTCTGGAGCGCTGATTCCGCGACAGTGGGGCGGGATCTGCTTGGCGTGACAATCGCGCACCGCGCGCAGAGAGGGCCGAGCCTTCCATCAGTTCCAGCGTGTGTGCCGCATGTGTGCCTTTCCAGCGCACTGCACGCCCACAGAACACCGAAGTCTCCGACGCAAGAATGCAAAGGCATATTGGGCGAATTCGCTCATGCGGCCCATGCGCATGTATAGTGACAGGGAGAACTGTTCCATGACCCAACAGTGATCTTACACCACGGGCTCGTGCGTAATCTCCTCCCCATGCTCGGACTCGACGCGCTCTGTGAGCCTGGGATGGTTCCACGGGCCCAGTTTGGCTCAGAGCACATCCGTCTGCGAGAGGTGCTGCAATGGCCTGGACAGGGCCCTTGTGGTACCAGTGCAAACGGCGCGGCGCGCAACGCAAAACAGTTGTGATGTTGCGCCGCCACGGCGAAACCAGTCGCAGCAGCCCCCACGGCAGACACTGGGCGGAATGGGCAGGGTGGTCCAGCTGGGGATCCGAAGAGCGCTGGAGCCGGCCCGCACGGGCACACGCCACCGAGCACGACGTCCCCCCCACCCCTCGGTCCGTTCCCGGGCCCTCGTGCGCCAATGCCCAGGCTGGCGCCGCCCCTGAGCAGCACAACTGCAGGAGTTCCCAGGACGATGGCCCACGCGACCTTCGCGACCCTGTGACAAAGCAGCGCGTCTACACTACGCCCCTCGACAGAGTCGTCGTCCAGAGCCCCATTGGAGAGGCTCCCGCTGAAACTGTGAAGAGGCTCCAGAGGGGGCTGGGCGACTACTTCACTGGCATTTGGCATCAGTGGACGACCGCGTATCCCACGCACTCAGGCCGGGTCTGCGCCGACCCTACGCTCCAACAGCCGGAGTCCTGCTCCATAATCCTCAACGGGTGGGCCCGCTTCAGGTACAACGTCTCCACGATGAACACAGAACTCGAGTCGAGCGGGAGACCGTGCGCGCTGGCATCCGCGAGAGGATCAGGCTGACGGACAACTCCGGCAAAGCTAACGGCAAAGGGTCGCGCGGAGGCAGCGACGCCAGGCGGAGCAGGACTGCGGACCTCAGAAGCACCTTGAGCACGCGCCTGTCCCGGGCGCACTCCTAGGCCCGGCAGGCTGCTCCGACGCGTCCATGCAGCCGCCGTCCCTTCTGGGCCTCGCAGGGCCCGCCCCTCAGGGCCATGGGGGCGGCCTGCTACTGCGCGCGCCGCTCTGCGCGCGCCAATGCCACCTTGGGCGCGCCAGGCTGGGGCTGCCGGCCCGCCCCAGGTACTTGGCCCCCTCTTTGGGGCACCCCTTGCGGCCTCTCTCCCCCTGGATGACTGCCGCCCCGCCCGTCTCGCCATAGGCGGCCTGGGGACTGGGCCCCTCGTTGGCCCCTGCCACCGCTAGTGCCCTTGCGGCAGCCACTTTGCAGCTCCCTTCTGCCCCGCACATTTGCTGCGCCTCTCTGCCTTCCTGGGAGAGCCTGGCAGCCACAGGGCGGTCCTTCCGTGCTGTTTCCTCCCCACGTCCTGGTGCCCCTACCTTTCCTGGCGGGCCCACTGGACCTGCCTGGGTCGCCTTCCTGCACCTGGTGCCTCCCCCTAACTCCACGGTGGCGACTCGCCGCCCTCCTTCTGGTTGATTGCCCTCAGGGCCCCCGTCTCAGACGTCATCTCAACGGCCGTTATGTCCACCGCCTGCTCCAAGCCGTTGCGGCTGTCTGCTGCACTGGTGTGGAACGGGCTGTGGTCCCCTACCCCTCCCTGCGGGTCGGGCTCGACGGTCTTCTCCTGGCCACTCCACCCGTTTCGGGGCTGACTGCGGCATCCGGTTACTCCTCCGCTAGGCCTCCCCATGTGGCTGCACGACGGCATGTCTCAGGCTGCGCCGTGTCCTACCGTCCTGCGGCTGTCAGCCGCACCCCGGCAGTGTTCGGCAAGTCCTGGGCTGCACCTCTCAAGTTCACCCCTCGGCTGTTAGCCGCACCTCACCCGCGCGCCATGATGTCTCAGGCGAAACCTTCTCCCAAGTACTCGCGGCTGTCAGCCACGCCCCCTCTACGCCTTGGCTGGTCTCAGGCGGAACCTTTTCTCACCTTTCAGCGGCTGTCAGCTGCGCCCCCGCGGAGCTTCGTCACATCTTGTGGTGCACCTTCCCTCCTGCTGCTGTTTGCCGCGCCCCATCGTGCAAAGTTCGGTCTCGGGCGAAACCCTATCCTGCGCTCCTGCGGCTGCCAGCCGCACCCCATCGGCGTGATTTTGGCTTGGCTTTCTCAGCATATCCCAGGCGAGCCGTTTTCCAACATTCATAGGCTGCGTGCCACATCCCAGCTGTGCATCGGCACGCCTCAGGCGGAACCTTCCCCACCATCCTGCGGCCGTCATCCGTGCATCCGTGCCCCATGCGGTCTACAGACGTTCCATTTACCATCCAGCAGCTGTCAGCCGCTCAAAAGTGCGCGTTTGGTCTCAGGCCTTATTTCTCCCCCCTTTTCCCGCGGCTGTTAGCCGCGCCCCCGCTGCGCACCGGTTTGTCTCAGGCGAAACATTTCCCCTCCGTCGCCCGCGGCTGTTTGCTGCACTCCCAGGGCCGTGGGCACCCACCTTCCTGCGGCTGTCAGCCGCCTCCCCCTGAAGCTAATCGAGTTCCTGGCGGCCGTCAGCTGCCCCTCTCTGTCGGGCGTCTCCGACCCCTGTGCTCCCCCTGGGCACGCGGGGCGGTAGGTCTCCCTCGCCATGTTGGCCTCGCGGTGGCACTGGTGACGGCCGTGGGCACTGCTACTTGGTCCGGTGAAGGCGCTGTGGTGCTTCCACTCGCATGTGCTGCCGCTGTCCACTCCTGGGCTCTGCGGCCACCTGGTCTTTACGAGGCTTCGGCATCCGTCGCCTGGATCGGTTTTGAGTTCATCCGTTGCCTATTTACGGCAAGTGCACGGAGTGCAGCAAGGTCAGGGTGACCACCTATTTGTTCCACTTCTGAGCTGCGGCTTGTGCTTTTCTTCTTCCCGTTCCTTCGGTTTCTCTCTTTCCCGCCGTCGCTCTCTTTTCTTCTCTTCGCGCTCTTTCTTGCTCTTCGTTTTCTTCGTCGTTTCGCCCCCTCCTGCTTCGTTCGCGGTGCCGTGTAGCCGGCTCGGCGTAGCAGCCCTTCCTTTTCCCGCCCGACTTTATGACGCCTCGCGGGTGTCCGCTCGCGGTCGCGATCAAAGAAAGTATCCCCACCAACCCATCTAGCAACGGTGACTAGGCGAGTTGCGCTGGTCAAGGAACTGTAAGAGAAGCCAGTGGAATATGGAACGATGACCACCGTCCGGCTGGAACTCTGGATGACGTCCGCCTTTCGGAGGTCTCTTGGGGGCCGCTTGTGAGCCTCGTGTGGGGGCGTCTCGGGGATTTCTTGGAATGTAGTTAGGGGCCTCGTGGGCGCCTCTTGGGGCCATTTTGGGGCCTTCTTGGGAGTCTCAGAAGCACTCTTGGAGCCACCCTGGGGAACTATCATCAAAGAAAGTGGTCCCTCAATTTGCACTGCCTCTCTAGACTCCTAGACCCTCTGAAATCGCCTCTTGGTGATTTCTAGAAGCGTTATTTGGGCCGCTTTGGAACAGTATTGGGTCTCTCTTTGGGGCCTATTGGGCCATCTTGGAGCCATATGTAGGCCTCGGAAGGCCATCAGGAACAACATGATGAGAAGTTAACGCGACATTTCCCACAGGTTTTGGAAGGGTTTGGGCATCTCTTGGGCTCGTCCTGGAGCGGTCTTGGGGCCTCCAGGAGCATGCTGGAAACCATCTGGAGCTTTCTTGAGCTATCTTGACCACCTTGGAGGGCAACGCGGGCTCTCCGGAGGCCTTCTTGGAGCCATCGTAGG